GTTCCATGGGCATTAGCCTTCTTGATACTGTCTCACTGAGGGTTTGCTCATTTTTTCTTAAAATAAATCTTAAAAATTTATTTATTTGAAGTGATGGAGGGGAACAGAGGAAGAGGGAGAGAGAAACCCAAGCAGACTCTGCACTGAGTACAGAGCCAGTTGTGGGGCTCAATCTTACAACCCTGAGATCACGACCTGAGCTGAAATCGAGTTGGACGCTTAACTGACTATGCCACCCAGGTGCCCCTGTTCATTTTTTAAAAGTCTTTTTTCTCTGTTTCATTTTAGATATTTTCTGTTTCGATATTTTTAAGTTTACTAATCTTTTCTTTTGCACTTTCTATTTTGACATATTTTAATTTCATGTATTTTTCATCTGTAGAATTTCAATTTGGGTCTTTTTTATGTCTTCCATATCTCTACTTGTCTATTTTCCTCTACCTTCTTGGACATTATGGAGTATATTTGTTTTTTTGTTTTTGTTTTTGTTTTTAAAGATTTTATTTATTTATTTGACAGAGAGAGAGAGAGAGATACAGCGAGAGAGGGAACACAAGCAGGGGGAATGGGAGAGGGAGAAGCAGGCTTCCTGCCGAGCAGGGAGCCCGATGCGGGGCTCGATCCCAGGACCCCGGGATCATGACCCGAGCCGAAGGCAGACGCTTAACGACTGAGCCACCCAGGCGCCCCTGGAGTATATTTGTTATAATTTTGTTAACATCTTTGTCTACTGATTTTTATGATGTTATTTCTGAGTCCCATTTCCATTGATTAATTTTTCTCTTGGGCATGGGCCATATTTTCCTGCTTCATTGTATATTTATAATATTTTTTTTAGAAGACAAGGTAAGGGCGCCTGGGTGGCTCAGTTGGTTAAGCGACTGCCTTCGGCTCAGGTCATGATCCTGGAGTCCCAGGATCGAGTCCCGCATCGGGCTCCCTGCTCAGCAGGGAGTCTGCTTCTCCCTCTGACCCTCTTCCCTCTCGTGCTTTCTATCTCTCATTCTCTCTCAAATAAATAAATAAAATCTTTAAAAAAAAAAAAAGAATTCTTAAAAAAAAAATAGAAGACAAGGTAAGGGGCATCTGGGTGGCTCAGTTGGTTGAGCAGATGATTTCAGCTCAGGTCATGATCTTAGGGTCCTGGGATCAAGCTCTGCTGGCATGGAGCTCTGCGCTTAGGGGGGAGTCTGCTTCTCCCTCTGTCCCTTGCCCTGCTCATGCTCTGTCTCTCTCAAATAAATAAATAAAATCTTGGGGTGCCTGGGTGGTTCAGTCACTTAAGTGTCTGTCTGCAGCTCGGGTCATGATCCTTGGGTCTTGGGATCGAGCCCCTTGTCAGGCTCCTTGCTTAGCGGAGGATTTGCTTCTCCCTCTCTCTCTCTCAAATAAATAAAATCTTTAAAAAAAACTTTTTAAAATTTTTTTTAATTTTTTAAGATTTATTTATTAGAGAGAGATAGTGAGTGAGAGAGAGAGAGAGATAGTACAAGCCAGGGAAGAGGCGTCCCAAAAAAGAAATAAAATCTTTTAAAAAGGCAAGGTAAACAAATAGCTGAAATATTTTATTTGTTTATAAGTAAGCTTGTTAACACTATATAATGAAAATCTACAAAGAATAATGTTGCAGATTTTGGTTAGATTTAAGTCAGACATTCATTAATAAGGAATCTTAGAATATGAACATCCCAGAAATTTCTCTAAGCCATCTGATCCAAACAACTATCTCTGATTTTTACCTTACTTTAAAAGGTACAGGGAGGGGCGCCTGGGTGGCTCAGTCTGTTAAGCGGCTGCCTTTGGCTCAGGTCATGATCTCAGGGTCCTGGGATTGAGCCCCGCATGGGGCTCCTTGCTCAGCAGGGAGCCTGCTTCTCCCTCTCTCTCTGCCTGCCTGCCACTCCCCCTGCTTGTGCTCTCTCTCTCTCTCACTCTCTCTCTGTGTCAAATAAATAAAGTCTTAAAAAAAAAAAAAAAGAAAGGTACAGGGATACATTTGAATTGAACTCAGAATTTTTCAAAATAAGCCCTAATTAATAAAACTATTTTATAATCAAACTAAAACAATTTTAATAAAACTTTCTTTTCCAGAAACAATAATAAAGGAAACAAGGCATTTTGTAAAATGTGGTTCCAAACAAGTAACAGTAAAAAATGTATACTTCCACCTCCTCAAAACAGAGGCTACTTTCTGTTCCTCAGCCTTGGAAACAAGTTGATGAACAGTCTGTAAGTTTTGGCAGGGGGTTGCAATAACAAAGCTCAAGCAGTTCTTAAAAAGAATTTGGGGGAACTTGACCAGAGGATCCAAATTCAGTTTTTTAATAACAGATATAGGGGTGAAATGGCTCCTTCTAAGTAGCAGTGCCACTGCCCCATGCTCACCTGTGTTTTGCTCCTGCTCTGAGGGAAACTTTTTCTTTTTAGAGGTTCACTGTCCAGGGAGCTCTCTGTGTGAATGAGGTGAGCACAGACTCCACATGGCTATTTTAAGGCTGGGAGTCAAAGTATTTTTCAGCATGACTGGGCAGAGTCCATGTGTTAACCCATCTCCAGTTTGTCCTAATTCCTCATCAAGCATTTGTAGACCTAGGACAACACACAGTTTTTATGTCACCATAATCACATCTATGTCATTCTAACTTATGATTCATACTCTGTGCCTTGAAACAGTCCATGTATTTAATATGTGTAATATATTTATGTGTATTATATTTATGTGTAATACCTACACATAAAACAATCCACCGTTATAACTTATACGGTCACAAAACATTAGTGATCTTCTGTAGACCAAGCAAGTGTTTTTAACCATAATTGTGGCACATCAGATTCACAGCCAAAATCCCCAAGATCAAAAAAATTTGCACAGTGCAAATAATATTTTAAAATACACACACACATTCACACACACACTTCTTACAGAATTGTGCTTGGAAAAACTCCTATTTGTTGAGTGGCACTGAGGACATCTTTTCCTAACTGCTGCTCCAGGTATTTTGTTTGGAAAACCTATCACAATAGGTCACAGCTGTTTACTGATAAGCAGAAAAGAAAGATATGCTTGTGGCAAGCAGAAGGTCTTAAGGTCTTTCAAGTTGTATTTTAAAAAGGACCTACAGAAATGTTTAAATGTTCTCAGGATGCAAAGTTGGAGCTGAAATGTGATTATCAAACCAGCTACAAAAAGTGTATGGCAACCATCTCTTCAGGTAAAACCTGGTACCCAGATATGCAAGAAAGCTTCAGGACAGGCTTCAGGAAAGCTTCAGGCTTGTTGATCTTGTCCCATATTCTCGCATAATCTGATCATGTGTGGAGCTGGACAGAGGGGCAGGTGCTGCCATTTTGGGGAACCAGGGCTCAGCAGCACCACCGCGAACTCTATGGGCCACTTCAGCATCACCTGAATGTCATGCCACTGAGGGACCAGGGATCAGGAGCGACTGGGGAGCTGCTGGAGCAGCTGCCCAACCTCTGGCTCCTCAGCGGAGCTCACAGCCAACCAAGATTTATAAGATTTTATTAGATGCCAGACATTGCAGAGTTTACATTATTGGTTATTAGATTTATATATACATATATTATATATATATATATTCCTTTATATATATATGTATATTCCTTTAAATTTGATTTTGTCTTGGATGTCACTAACTGAATCTATCTGATCCTTTCAAGGCTTGCTTATTTTTCTAAGTCTTGCTTTTAAATTTTCATTTGGGCAGTCTTTCATGTAGAGCTAATTTCGTCCCATTACTGAGGCAATACTCTTCTTATGATTCTACCTTATTATTCTGTAGGACCTTCATTTCCTGCCTGTATATTAGGAAGTCTTTCCACTCTGGTTGATGGAAACACAAACTATTGCTTCGGAGATTGTTTCACCTATTCCTCTCTGGTTGTTCTGTTCCCACTCTTCATGGTTTTCTGTCTCACATGCATAGATCAATACTTAATCAAGGACTCGAGGGTACCCCTGCAAATCTCCAGAGCACTATATCTGTGTGGCTACCTCTTCTCAGATAATCTGCTTCATGTATTGTAACTCTTTGGCCTTTCCAAACTCTGAACTCTGTCTCCTCACTCACCAAGACAGCCCGTCTGTTTGGATTTCCCGTCACTGCACTCACTTTTTCCTGCCAATGAGGTGGAACATTTGCTTGTTTTTCTTCTTTCAGGGATTACTGTTCTGCACCGATTGTTACCTAATATTTGAAAACCAGTTGTTTCATATTTTCTCAATTTTTAGTTTTTAAGGCTGAAGGGCAAATTCTGTTTCTATTATTTTATCAAAAATGGAAGGGGCGCCTGGGTGGCTCAGTTGGTTAAGCGACTGCCTTCGGCTCAGGTCATGATCCCAGGGTCCTGGGATCGAGCCCTGCATTGGGCTCCCTGCTCGGCAGGAAGCCTGCTTCTCCCTCTGCCCACTCCCCCCGCTTGTGTTCTCTCTCTCTCTGTCTCTCTCTCTCTGTGTGTCAATTAAATAAATAAAATCTTTAAAAAAAAAAAAATGGAAGCAGAAATTTTTTTCTCTGGGATTTTGTCCTGCTGATTCCTTGCTATCTTGTCAGTTCTTTGATGCTTTTAAGGATTTAAAAAATATTTCATCCAGCATGTTTAATTTTTTTAAATGGGAAATTTGGTTCAAATAGCCTAAGCTATCATTATTTGAAATGGAAATCCTTATGTTTTTCCAATTAAAAAATAAAATAGAAAAATACTTTAGGATGTCTTCATAAAAGAATAGTTGGGTGAGAGGAGGTGACTAATGCTATGGTTCCTCTAAATAGTCAAAAGGATAAAATAAGGAATCCAAGACATATAATAGGTAGGGCTAGGTAGAATTCCTGGACATGGCCCAGTTTAGCATGTTATGGATATTAGACGGTAAGTTACTAATAGACCATTAGGTAGGATTCTTATAGCAGAAAATAATGTAATAAATTGAAAGAAGTCAGAGTGGGACAGTTACGAGTTTTTTTTTTATTCTCACCTAGATATTCTACATTTCCTCATTTCTTTACACCGTCAATTACATCTGGTATCTGTACAAAGAGCTGAGGATGAGACACAACCAGAGTGGACGGAGCACATTTCCACTGGTAAGTTTTATTCAGAGCTAATAGTTAAGAACAGTATGCTAAAACAAATCTATATGTCCTTGATAAACAGTGTAAGCACTCAGCACTGGGTAGGTGAATTCATGGAGGTTAATAAAAGAACAGTCATGTTCTCACAGAGTTTCCATTCTGTTGAAAAAATTTCCTCTTCTCTCTTGGCATCAAAAAAATAAAAAGGGGGCGCCTGAGTGGCTCAGTTGTTAAGTGTCTGCCTTCAGCTCAGGTCATGATCCCGGGGTCCTGGGATCGAGTCCCACATTGGGCTCCCTGCTCGGCGGGAAGCCTGCTTCTCCCTTTCCCACTCTCCCTGCTTGTGTTCCCTCCCTCGCTGTCTCTCTTTCTCTCTGTTAAAAAAATAAATAAAATCTTAAAAAAAATAAAATGGTTTTGATTATAGGAAACATTATTTACAGTACTATCCTTACTGCCTGGTTCCATCCTTCTTAGCTCCATGCCAATCCATCATTGTTGCTAGAGTAAAGAATAAGATCTTGGCTAGAGTCAGGGAAGGTGCTCAGTTTGCTCACATGGAATTTGAGCTACAGGTATTGGAAAAGGAGAATGTCTGTTTTGCTCTGCTGTATTTATTCAGTATGTGCGGATAACAGATACTGGTTTGCTGAAGGGCAGAGGGGTTCATGTGTGGTAATCAGAAAACAAGATGGATCCAGGGAGCAGATGTTTCCCCTTCTTTGGTTCAAAGAGAGTTTGGGGCACTGTCTAGTATTACATTTATAAAAGAGAGGAGAACACTAAGTACATCTGGATTTTTTTTGTTGGGTATGCATATTTTACATATCACATAATTTGTTTATTTTAAGTTACAATTCAGTGGTTTTTAAAGGAGACTTTTACTAGCTTGTAAAATAATATCATAAATCAGTTCTAGAATGTTTTCTTCGCCCTAGTCAAATTCTTCATGCCCATTTATTGTTAATTTCCTGCCCACCCCCTGCACTAGGCAACTGCTAATCTAATTTCTGACTCTATAGATTTTACTTTTCTGGACATTTCATATAGATGGAATCATCCAATATGTAGTCTGTTGTGTCTGATTGATTTCATTTGGCATAATGCTTTTGAAGTTTATCCATTATAACATGTATGATCATTCCTTTTTAGTGCTGAATAGTATTCCATTGTATAGTACACTCAGTTTCTTATTCCTGATTCTTTCAGTGTATCACTAAGTGATCTTGGTAGAAAACATTTTTAGGGGCGCCTGGGTGGCTCAGTCAGTTAAGTGTCTGCCTTCGGCTCAGGTCATGATCCCAGGATCCTGGGATCAAGTTCCGCATCAGGCTCCCTGCTCAGCAAGGAGTCTGCTTCTCCCTCTGCCCCTTTTCCCTGCTCGTGCTCTCTCTCACTCTCAAATAAATAAAATCATTAAAAAAAAACATTTTTATGATGTTAGCAATTTTCATTTCTTTGGCTGTCATTATATATTTTAATCTTATTATATAAATCTTACTAAATATTCCAGTTTTCTTATTTCTATAGTATCCATTCTGTTATGGTTTTTTTTAAAGATTTTATCTTTAAGTAATCTCTGTACCCAACATGGGGCTTGAACCTGCAACCCCGAAGTCAAGAGTTGCACACTTCACTGACTGAGCCAACCAGGCACCCCGTTGTGTTTTTTTGTTTTGTTTTTAAAGATTTTTTTATTTATTCATTTGACAGAGAGAGACACAGCGAGAGAGGGAACACAAGCAGGGGGAGTGGCAGAGGGAGAAGCAGGCTTCCCGCCGAGCAGGGAGCCTGATGCAGGGCTCGATCCCAGGACCCTGGGATCATGACCTGAGCTGAAGGCAGACGCCTAACAACTGAGCCACCCAGGCACCCCTTGTTGTGTTTTTTTTGAAGGGGATTTTTTGCTTAAGAGCATGAATGAGTGAATGAATGAATTTCCAGAAATGAATCTGGAAAACTTCCCACATACCTTTCTCTAGAGCCTACAGATCAGTTCTAGACCAAATGAAAGTGGTATATTATCATACACATGATGAAACTCAATAAAAATTTGTTGAATGAATAAATGGTACTATTATCAGTAAGTTTTTTTTAAATCAGAGATTCATTGACAGCAAGGTAAGTACAAAAATTAAACACAAGTTAGCCTGATGGATGGAGGATAGAATAAAAAGAAGGGAACAGGTGGGAGAGGTCACCAAAGACTGATTTTGCTTATTTCCCATTTTGCTTAAAGTCAACAATGGCTGTCTTACTTGAAATCATTTACTATTCCTGATCCATAGTTTTTAGGGCAAATCGGTTGCCCATCTCTGATTATTGATTAACTGCTCACTTAATGCTTATTGATTTTTAACAATGCCATTCTAGAATATAATATGATTTCTTACCTCAGAACAGAAAAAAGCTGTTTTCTATTCTGTTTTCACTTTAAGGTGTTCTATTCAAAGTCTTTTACCATAAACTTCCAGTGGGTAGATAACATTCTTCTGTAAATTATTTTTCAGTGTCTAACACAACTAGGGGTTTTTGGAATGTTCTTTCTTCTAGAGTCTAATAGATGTTATATCCAAAGGGCTTATTTGACCCTCCTCCCTTATGCTAATCCTGGCCTATTAAGCTTTCTGCTGGTCATCTTATACATAGACTTCTGCTCCACCCATAAGGTCTGAAAAGTCCATACTTCCCTGGATCTAAAAGAGAATAGGATTGAACTATTATTAGAAGATGGAGGAGTACTGTATGATTTCGTGTTTACCTTTCTTCTTAAGAGAATTTGTTGTGGTATCCAAGTCTTATATTAAGCTACTTCCCACAGGGTCTCCTTGTGGCTGTTGTTGTACTTTTTAGAATATAGTAATACAGATAAAATTCTCTTGCCTCCAATGCTAAGGAACTATCTGTTTGATTGAATTTTGGAGCAAATATTGCTTGACAGAAGCAAGGTGGCTCTTGGGAATTTTTGTTCGTTCAAGTGCTAAGTGATGACCTGATATTTATTATATTATGATTGGCAATATTCTAAGAGTTTACTCACATTTATTCTTTTCACAGGTCATAGATTATACTTGTCACGTTGGTCAAATAGCCATCATTTTGTCAAGGTAAGGTTTTTGCTTTCCTTTCTAGCAAGGCGTAAACTCTCATTATTCTGTGGTCTAGGTGAGAACAAATAGGAGGACAGTGCCCTTCATTTCCATTGAGTCTATCACTCCTAGGTCCTCACAGAGCCTTCCTGAGTTGGAAGCAACAAACATATGATCACTGGAACCATATTCCCAGATAGAATAGGCAGGCAGTTACAGATTTGGATTTTATTTAATTTTATTTTATTTATTTATTTTTTAAAGATTTTATTTATTTATTTGACAGAGAGAGACAAAGTGAGAGAGGGAACACAAGCAGGGGGAGTGGGAGAGGGAGAAGCAGGTTTCCCGCCGAGCAGGGAGCCCGATGCGGGCCTCGATCCCAGGACCCTGGGATCATGACCTGAGCCGAAGGCAGACGCTTAACGACTGAGCCACCCAGGCGCCCCTACAGATTTGGATTTTAACCTTAACTCTGCCATTAACTCTATGTGACCTTCAACAAATATTTCTCTTTAAGTCTTTGGACTTCTAATTCCTTTTTATATAATAAAGAGTTATAACAGACGGCTTTCAAGATCTCATCTACCTTTATAACACAGGGTGAGAGTCTTACAACTGTTTACCCTCAGAAGGATCTAGATCTCACCTAACGTAGTGGTCATACCAGAGTTTGTAACTTTTACTTCTGGATCTTTTCCTCTTACAGGGAGCTGGCTATATTTAGCTGGATAAATAATTGGTTATTTAAATGTATGCTTTGAAAAAGCTCCCAGGAAGGGGTTAATGAAAATGAAGTTATTCCTGGTGGTCATAGAAAGTTAGCACAGAACTTCTTGTTAGATTTTTTCCTTTGACTTTGACCAACACCCAAAGACTCTCTGACATTCTTTTAGGGTTCGTTAATTTAGGTTTGAAATGCATTCTCCGCTCCACTTACCCAACAATTGGACAAGAAGTATATGTAAGGGTTTTGAACCATTTTTCTTGAAGAAATTATATATTTGTGGAGAGTGGGGGGTGATGGAGTTGGGAGAAGAACAGAGTATTTTGTGAAGGGGAAAGACATAAAAATGCCTGAATATTAGGGTGATAAGTTTTTTTTCCCCCTCCCAGCCTGATACCTCTACTGTTGATGATACCTGTATTCTGTCTGGGCAATGTTAGTGAATGTTTCCACAACTTTAGCCAGAGCCACAGGTAAGCAAGGACCAAGTCTATCATTTCCATTTTCTTTTCTATATAAAGATATGGAAAAGACTTTCTACATACATTCTGGACAAGTTGCTTGTATTTGGAACAAGGTTCTATGGAACCTTGGTAGCATTTATAGAACAAGGTATAGTCAAGGCAAAAAATACTTAAGTAGAAATATAATGCGAAGTGACTGGAAGATAATGTATCTATGAGAAGGAATAAGGTGTTATGGGCAAGGGTTAGCAAAATGATAAGAAAAATTGCATATTTAATAAATTTTGTTGTGCCAAATGGGTATCTCTCTAGTCTTGTATCTGTAGTAGTGGTCCTGTCCATTGATTCTCTTCCTAGGTGTATTCTGATGTACTCACCACCATCAGCCGTGGCTGAACTGCCTTCTGCCAACACATCAGTCTGTAGCACACTTTATTTTTATGGGATCACCATTTTCCTGACCACCTTTCTCCTCAGCCTCCTCACCATTGTGGTATGGTGCCACCTGCTTTTATGGAAAGAGGGGATTGGGAGGGATGGGGCATTATTCCCAGGGACTGGGAAAATGGGATGGAGAGGCATTTCCTAAAGTCCTAGAACTAAGAAAGTAGCCAAGAGATATTGACAGTTTAATTACTACCTCAGTATTTGGACTTCCCAAGATTAAATGATTGGTGGGGAAAGAGTCTGTAGTCATTATGTGAGAATTATGCTCACTCTAGGGCTAATTAATATATGTTCCTTTGGATCCTCATGGAAGACCAGACCAGAAAACTAGTATATGTCAAGTATGTCCTTTATACAGGATAACACTCCAGAACATAGGAAATGTGCTTTGATTTAATTGATAATTTTCCAAATAATGAAGGAATTTTCTTTTCTCAATCCTTTACTAGCTATAAATGTATTTATGCTATGTCTACCTGGGGTTAAAGTGCTAAGGGGCTTAGGCATTTACTAAATACTCATTTGACATCATCAGAATGATGTACAGTTAAAATAATTAGCCATGGAATAATATGTTATTTACACATAACTGCCTAGTACAAAATCAGCACACAAGTGAATATGCCTTTTTATTTGCCATGTCTACTTTTCAGTGTCATTTTCTCCTCTCTCCATATGCTGGTTCAAGGATTACAAACTGTCTGTCTGCAGAGCAAATTGATCCCATGGATATGTTTTGTTTTGCTAGCGCAGCTGGCACATGTAAACCAAATAAAATTATGGAGAATTTCCTTTAACAATTTAAAAATAAGTTATAGAGGGGCACCTGGGTGGCTCAGTCATTAAGCATCTGCCTTCGGCTCAGGTCATGATTCCAGGGTCCTAGGATCAAGCCCCACATTGGGCTCCCTGCTCAGCAGGAAGCCTGCTTCTCCCTCTCCCACTCCCCCTGCTTGTGTTCCCTCTCTTGCTGTCTCTCTCTGTCAAATAAATAAAAATTAAAAAAAAAAATCTTTAAAAAAACAAAAATAAGTTATAGAGATAGCTTAGCTCAAATCAGCAACTTTGTAAAGAGGGTGAAATGAATAGTTTATATATTTTTTTTAATAATTTTTTATTGTTATGTTAACCACCATACATTACATCATTAGTTTTTGATGCAGTGTTCCATGATTCATTGTTTGTGCATAACACCCAGTGCTCCACGCAGAATGTGCCCTCTTTAATACCCATCACCAGGCTAACCCATCCCCCCAACCCCCTCCCCTCTAGAACCCTCAGTTTGTTTTTCAGAGTCCATCGTCTCTAATGGTTCGTCTCCCCCTCCGACTTACTCCCCTTCATTCTTCCCCTCCTGCTATCTTCTTCTTCTTCTTTTTTTTTCTTAACATATATTGCATTATTTGTTTCAGAAGTACAGATCCGTGATTCATCGGTCTTGTACAATTCACAGTGCTCACCATAGCACATACCCTCCCCGATGTCTATCACCCAGCCACCCAATCCCTCCCACCCCCCACCACTCCATGAATAGTTTATATTAAGATGATTTTGATGATCTACATTTAGAACTGATTGACAAGAGAGGCAGGTATCCCAGAGCCTGGCACCCTGGGGATACTTGATTGCTTCTTTATTTTTTTGTGTTTTTTTTGTTTTATTTTATTATGTTATGTTAATCACCATACATTACATCATTAGTTTTTGATGTAGTGTTCCATGATTCATTGTTTGCATATAACACCCAGTGCTCCATGCAGAACGTGCCCTCTTAATACCCATCACCAGGCTAACCCGTCCCCCCACCCCCCTCCCCTCTAGAACGCTCAGTTTGTTTCTCAGAGTCCATAGTCTCTCATGGCTCGTCTCCCCCTCTGATTTCCCTCCCTTCATTTTTCCCTTCCTGCTATCTTCTTCTTCTTTTTTTTTTTTTAACATATAATGTATTATTTGTTTCAGAGGTACAGGTCTGTGATTCAACAGTCTTAAACAATTCACAGCGCTCACCATAGCACATACCCTCCCCAATGTCTATCACCCAGCCACCCCTTCCCTCCCACCCCCCACCACTCCAGCAACTCTCAGTTTGTTTCCTGAGATTAAGAATTCCTCATATCAGTGAGATCATATGATTGCTTCTTTAAATAACGCAAGCTTCAGTGGGCATTCAGAATCAGAACTGATTCTACTAGATATAAATATTCCCAAATAAGTAAAAGCCTCCTTTTGATTCCTATGTCTGTGGGGAAAGGAATGGCTACATGGCTAAACTTAAATAATTGGCTTATTAACTTAAAGAGTGGGTCTGGATTATTAGGGAAAATTTTAGATTTGTCAGATCTGTTACCAAGATTATTACCTAATTTACTTCCCATAGAAAGCACGTTGGACTTCTGAACTGATTTATATTTGTTTCATTAGCTTAACCTTATACAGATAGCCCCCAAATGGAAGGGGAAAACAGTCTATTTTCCATCTAAGGGCAAGAAGAGACTTCCTAAAACTTTTTTTTTTTTTTTGCTTAGAGTTGAGAATTTAAGCTCAGCCACGGTGCTGATGTGTTTATTCTAAGGGTATTAAGCACAGACTTCTTTCTAACACAATCTCTAGTAAAGTGTTTTAAAAGAGGGTCTGGTTAGATCTTAGCTTTAACTTCCCCTACATACTGTGATTAGCCTCAGGGGAAAAAAAAAAGCCTGAGAGTTGATGTCAAGTTTATGTATTGAACATGGTAACCACAGGTTTGTCTAATATCTGTCCATTTCCCCTGGCTAAGCAAAAGTTCACTCTGAAGATGATTTTCTTTCAGAAAAAGCCAGTCTTAAATGGTAAAGACAGGAGAATGAGTTTTCCTGCTGTCAGATCCTGAGAGAAGTGATTCCTCTACAACAAGAGGAAGCTAGAGCTGGGAAGTTTTACCAAGCCTCAGGCAAACTACTCACTTATGTACCCATGTTTAGGTCTTACTCATCCAAGCCCAGACTCTGTATAAGAAGTTTGTGAAATCAACTGGCTTCCTGGGGAGTGAACAGTGGGCAGTGATTCACATTGTGGAGCAGCGAGTACGCTTCTACCCAGTGGCCTTCTCTTGCTGCTGGGGCCCAGGTGGGTATCTTAATGGGAAGAGCTGGGTAATGATGAGGACACCTATTGGGTTCTGATCAAGCAAAGTGGGCTCACCAAGAAGGATGACTGAAACTTGTAAAATTCTTGTCCAACCGTAAAATCTATGTTGGTCCCACTTCTTTTTATTCCTGTGTTTTAGAAATTAAGGTAATTAGACATGAGATACAGCCTAAGAGAGGAAACATCCTGATAGAGCTCAGAGATATTAACACCTGCCCTTCCTACTACACAAAGTATAGTGAGGATCAGATTGGATAATGCTTATGAAAGAGCTTGGTAAATTCTGAAACACTAAGAAGTGTAACTTATCTCCCATAGTGTGTCTTACCATCATTGCTACACTAATAACCTGCAAAGTTTAGTCAGTGAGGAATAGAAGTTGAAGACCGGAGGCCCAGTGGTTTTATGTAACTGGTTAATCTCACTCCTAGTCTTCATTATGCTTATACCTTTATCTCTCACGGTGTGTAGGCATGTATACTGGGGAAATTTTTTTTAGGATTTTATTTATTTATCAGAGAGAGCAGGAGCAGGGGGAGCGGCAGGCAGAGGGAGAAGCTGGCTCCCCACTGAGCAGGGAGTCTGATGTGGGACTCGATCCCAGGACGCTGGGGATCATGATCTGAGCTGAAGGCAGACGCTTAACCAACTGAGCCACCTAGGCGTCCCTATATTGGGGAATTTTATGCTCAGACAGGTAGGGCTGGCAAGAATATTTATACTTTGTGTTTTCACAGCTGTCATTCTGATGATCATAAAGTTGACTAAGCCACAGGACATGAAACTTCACATGGCCCTCTGTGTTCTCCAGGTAACACCTTCAACATCTGTTTTTATACCCTCTTAAATCCTGTTCTCTTACACTGACATTACTCAGTAAGCACAGTTTTTTCCCTTAGCATATTTATTTCTATGTTGCAAAGAGAAAATGTATTATTTATATTCAGTTATGAAGAATGTGAAGTTTTCCTCACAGATGAGGTAGATACTTTTGTGAAAGTGCTGCCATGCATTCCAGAGCATATGTATCTCTAGTTAACTTCATTTTATTGGTGTGTTTTTAAGGGATGGGTAGCAAAAAAACAAGATTGACCAGATAATGTTTTTATGAAACACTGATAGTAACATAATTCTCCCCCACCCAGACTGAACTGAATGGGATAAATTAGCTATTCTAGGTAAATGGGGAGAGAGGAATACAGATATAGAACAATTCTCTCTTTTCCTCTTTAATCAGACTTAAGAAGCCTTTTTTGAGTTATCTGACTATACTGATACGGCATTTGTCTCAAACCTGACCTGGGAAATGGGAGTAATAAGGAAGGCATTGAAACGAGTTCATTTTCCTTATATATATGCCAAGAAGTATGACCAACTTTCAGTCATCCATAACAAGGTATAGTGTAAAGAGTGAGTTCAGAAAGAGCTAGAAAGGGAAGAAATCAGAGAGGGAGACAAACCATGAGAGACTCAGGACTCCAGGAAACAAACTCAGGGTTACAGAGGGTAGGGGGTGGGGGGATGGAGTAACTGGGTGATAGGTATTAAGGGCACGTGTTGTGATGAGAACTGGGTGTTATATGCAACTAATGAATCATTGAACACTATATCAAAAACTAATGATACACTATATGTTGGCTAATTGAACATAATAAAAAAAAAAGAGCTAGAAAAATATAAAAACCTGACACCAGATCTTGCTGTTTGAGATAAAACAAATATAACAATGAGTATAAATAAGGGGAATGGGGATGATTCCCTGGATCTCTGAACACCTGAAGGATGGGTTCCATCACTTCATCTCCTCCAGGCTCTAACAGCATCATCCCAGGGTCTGCTCAACTGTGGAGTATATAGCTGGACACAATACAAGTTCTACCAACTAAAGCAACAGGCTCGGCGTGATGCAGACACCCAAACACCATTATTATGTTCACAGAAGAGATTCTATAGTGGGGGCCTAGATACAATGGAGTCTACCCTTGGTTTTGCTACCAGCCCTCCACCATTCTTTGAAACTGTAATACTGGAACATCCAGGAACCAGAATTATTCCACACTAATGGATTGAGAAGAGTGTTGGGAAACATCTCAAGTCTTTTCCAACCATGCCTTAAACTATGAAAGTGAAAGAGGATGTAGTGCTGTGGTTAGTAGCTTTTCTTGTTGAATTGGGCAGGATCTCTCTGTTATTCTCAGATTCACTAGTAATTCTTCAAGTCTTTGTTCAGAGAGGTGAAGCCACTTTCCTTCTAAGAGATAGACACCTGTCACCTCAGTGAATACTAGATTTGTTTAAATCTCTTCTAGATAAGTTCCAGGTTATTATTTATATGTGCCATTTCCAGGCTCTCTACTCCATGGTCGTGGGAGAAGTAGGGTGGCATGCAGCAGCTTGCTCAGATTTTGCTAGTATTGTTATTCTCTCTGAGGTTGGACAAAGAAAGTCCTGGGTTTCTGTTCTTTGAAGAGTTTTTGAAACTCAGAAGAAGCAAGGGGCGCCTGGGTGGCTCAGTTGGTTAAGCGACTGCCTTCGGCTCAGGTCATGATCCTGGAGTCCCTGGATCAAGTCCCGCATCGGGCTCCCTGCTCGGCAGGGAGTCTGCTTCTCTCTCTGACTCTCCCCCCTCTCATGTGCTCTCTCTCTCATTCTCTCTCTCTCAAATAAATAAATAAAATCTTTAAAAAAAAGAAGAAGAAGCAAGGACAGTAACTATCAAAAAACTGACAGTGGGATCCTCAGGCACATCTACTCTCTTATTTGTTCAGTGCTGTTCTAAGTCTTAACAGTAGGAACCATCTGCTCTAGGAAATTAAGGCCAATCTTATGGAGTTAGAGGGGATAATAAGATTTAAGAGAAATCAGGATTAAAAGAAATTTTAGGTATCAAAAACTCTCAACTCCCATTTATAAGCAAAAGTCCAAAAGTAGGTTTCATAGTGCCTGGACATAGAATTAGGTTGAACCATATAAACTTACCATTTTTGTAGGTGAAAATGGCATAATAACATCAATTTTACATGGTTTAACCTAATGGTGTTTAATGTATGTTTATAGAATAAATGAATGAATAAGTGAATGAATGGCTAGAAAGAACCTTTTGGTAAAGAAAAGATTCCAAGACTGCAAAGCCTCATTCACTGATAGGAATGTCTAATCCGTTTCTTCTTCCCCCTCCCCTTTCCCTCCTCCTCCTCCTCTTCTTCTTCTTCTAAAAGATTTAATTTATTTATTTGAGAGAGTGCAAGCAGGGGATGGAGCAGAGGGAGAGGGACAAGCAGACTCTATGCTGAGCATAGAGCCCGACACAGGGCTCGATCCCAGGACCCTGATATCACGACCTGAGCTGAAACCAAGAGTCGGACACTTAACTGACTGAGCCACCCAGGCACCTCTTCTTCTTTAATCACACGACAAGTGATGTTTTGTCTCTTCAGTTAAGTTACGAACAAAGTCAGTCTGAGGCCAGGGCATCAGATACTATGATGCCACAACGAAGAGGAAAAGCCAAATGGACAAAGTAGCTGGAATGACAATCAACTAAAACTAGTAATGAGATGCTTCTCACCTGATATACTCCTTTGGTCTGTCCAAGGAAAAATCTTTAAGATTAGAGAAAATTGACAGAGTAGATTACAGTGGTGAATTAGATAGGATACTCTGAAACATAAGTTCCAGAGATCATTCCAAAGGAACTCTATGCAGAAATGTTAGGGAGCTCAGTTAACAGCTCTTTAGGTTTGAGGCCATGAACTTCACCCTTACTGTGGAGGGTGACCTGGACTTGTTATGTCAAAAACATATCTTGAGGGGCGCCTGGGTGGCTCGGTTGGGTGACTGCCTTCGGCTCAGGTCATGATCCTGGAGTCCCGGGATCGAGTCCCACATCGGGCTCCCTGCTCAGCGGGGAGTCTGCTTCTCTCTCTGACCCTCTTCCCTCTCATGCTCTCTATCTCTCATTCTCTCTCTCTCAAATAAATAAGTAAAATCTTTAAAAAAAAAAAAAACATATCTTGAGGCCTGTCATTGCCCTATAGCTCTGAAACCTGACCTGGATAGCATAGAACAAGAAAGATTGCTTAACATAGGGAGCTGCTTTAAGTTCTTTTAATTTAGAAATGAATAAGTATTCAACATTTGGAGAGACAGATGAAAAAAAAAAAAGAATTTCTATTTCTGTAGACCTTGAGAGACACCAGAACTACAGAGTCCAATTCTTAAAAAAGTTTTTTTAGTGGGGCACCTGGGTGGCTCAGTCATTAAACGTCTACCTTCGGCTCGGATCATGATCTCTGGGTCCTGGGATCGAGTCCCGCATTGGGCTCCCTGCTCAGCAGGGAGCCTGCTTCTCCCTCTCCCACTCCCCCTGCTTGTGTTCCCTCTCTTGCTGTCAAATAAATAAATAAAATCTTCTTTAAAAAAAGTCCTTTTTGTTTTAAATTTTTTTTTTTAGATTTTATTTATTTATTTGACAGAGAGAGAGAGCAAGAGAGGGAACACAAGCCGAGGGAGAAGCAGGCTTCCCGCAGAGCAGGGAGCCCGATGTGGGACTCGATCCCAGGACTCCGGGATCATGACCTGAGCCGAAGGCAGTTGCCCAACCAACTGAGCCACCCAGGCGCCCAAAAAAAGTCCTTTTTGTATCACTTCATATTTGGCTTTATTACCAGAAAGAAGGTAATCATCAAATGTTTGTCAGGTTTGTTCATCTTGCTTCTCTGATTAATTTTTTGCATTGACACTGGTCTTAGATCTTCTATGGATATAAGTAAACAAAAAGGTAGTAGGAATGAGAAATAGTAAAAGGCTAGGCAAGATCCAGATTAGGATTATAAGCTTTTTGTTGTACTGAGAGTCAGAGGGGCCACATGGAGCTGGGCCACTATTCAAACTGTCCCCATAACCCTTAGATTCACAGGTAGGAGGGGTATAGATATAGACACAGTGACATTCATAAAATTGTTGCAAATGACACTTGTCTGGGTTGTAGTCATAGTGGGATATAGTGGTACCTATATTCCACCCACTGTATTCCACTTAGTGGCATATAAGCAGGTTTGATTAATATAGATCTGTGAACCACGTCGGGTCCCATCCCTCTCATCAGCTCTGTCTGTGGCTTCAAAAAACTCTGCACTCCAATACCACATGTCCTCCATGGGGAAGTGGGGAAGTGTTTGATGTTTTTTAATTCAGTCAGCAGCCTTTCACATTTTGCATCTTTGGCCTTGCACTTACTGAAGACCTTAATCATCCCCTTGGATTCACTGCCATGGTTTCCAAACCTGTCCCCTTTGTATTCATGTAATGATATCAACTTTCCAGGCAACCTTTGTGCCCTTTCCAAAGATTTTAACACAATGATTCTCCACGCTTCAGCACCAGCCCTGGTAACAGTAACCTTCTTCTTTGTAAGGAATGCCATCTTGCTTGCAGGTATCTGTCTGGCACCACCTGGAAATGCCAGTACAGTGTTCTGGGAGGTCACACTCATCTACTCTGAGGCAGCAGGGTGTAGAAATTTGCTAGTTTTGTAGAAGGATCCCAAATGTGCAGTCTGAACCTTTCTTCAGCTGGCCTGAGGGCAGACAGTAGTGATCATTTTAATAATTAAGGACACTGCCACAATCACATTCTTTTCCTTTATCTACTGTCTTTTTTTTTTTTTTCCAAAGGAGCTTTGGAGCTCGGGTTTTTTTTTTGAACAGGCAGTACCCTCTATGCTTATGCAACAGCCGGTGGAAGTAGTCAAAGCTGTAGTTGCTGAAGCCCATATCTATAGTAAGAAATTCATGCATAGGACAGAGGTTCTGGCCATGACACTTGCAGGTCACATGGTCATGCTTCATTGCCAAGTTTTGGCCAAGCTTGTGAGCCATAAGATCTGTGAAATGTGGTATATTTTCATGACAGAAAGATTCAACACTGGTTGAATTCTTAGCAGTGCAGATACCACTAAGAAATGCATGGCTCTGGTACTTCCCAAGACCTTGGCTAATGACCATATGAGCAACATTATGCTTCACTCTTCTCAAAAGATGCCAGTCTCTCTAGCAGTTAAAATTTTGTAGTGTTTCTTGCGAATTCAGGGAGATTTTCACTAGGTTTCTCTCTGTCCATATCTTTAACCCTGTAAGTAATATTGTCACATGTAATTTCTTCTTGTACCTGTCAATATGAACATCCATTACCATCTGTATTGTCTTGGTAGCATTATTATTCCACATTTGGAACCGCATATTGTCAACCACAGTAAATGTTTCGGCATGCTTGGAAAGTGACCACATACAGGACATTGAAAAGGAAGAGGGTTCTATTTTGCTCTGAAATTGTGAAGTGGTTAAGAGCTTCTCCTGTTTATCTCCACTCACTGTACAAGACTAACCTGATTTTAAAGATATGCTGAAAACCATATGCCCAAAATTCTTTGAAGTATATATAGGCTTGATGCCAAAGACAGTGTCATGTAAAGTCAGGACTCCCTTTATAGCCCTGAGCAAGTGCTAATAAGTCTCAAGAGAATGCAGGTCACCCTCTAAACATCCAGTCATCCTGAATAAAAGGCATGTCAAGCCTAGTATCCCATTTTGATGTGTATAAACAGGGAAGTTCTTGATAAATAATCCTTTCTTTTGCTTCAAATTAATAATAGGCCATTTTTCTTGTATGAGCAGAATATAGGACACTTTTTCTGCTTTTGCTTCCCGTCCTTTGAATATCATCAAGTTGCTAGGGATGACTGTTTTATAATAAAGAGATTTCCATTTACAATGCATCCCTTGAAGAATATTCACTATCAGCAATAAGATGACATGCAGCTTAATATAGGAAGGGCTCATTCTCAAGAGGCCCATTCAGGAACTCCTGGAAGAAAAATCACTCTAAACCTTACCCATGACCACTTGATTTCATAGAAGGAAGTGCATAAGGGAGGCAAAGTAACTGGGGTTGTCATTGTCATGGCCCAGTTGAAACAACTAATGGTCCTACACCTCTGTCTCTGTTGCCTTGCCTGAGATCCAAATCTGTCAGTAACACAGTTTGGCTAAAGCTCAAAGCTTTGCTGCCCGTTGCAAGGATAGCTGCTCCCACCCTGGGAGTTACAAGGTGACATCTATTGTTTGACTGTGCCTCTTCCTACTCCTGTTGTGGTCTCTCTTCACAGGAGTGCTCTTACTTTGCAACCTTCATGAAAGCACAAAGTTTTAGTGCTGCTTAGCTGAGCTCCTGCTATCTTCATAGAGGAGTATACTAAGGGGAGGAAACTTTCAGAGGTCCTGTCAGTATTATGACTCAGGATCAGGCCCCAAGAAAAGAAAAAGCTATAACCTTCTTCCTTTATTC